CCAGAAGGAGAAAACAAAAATGTTGGATGCTGCTGAGGGACAAGGCAGTCCCATAACCCATCATGCTGCCTCCGGGTCCTCCCAGAATGACAAACATCCTCAAGAGGATTCTCAGGAACAGGTTTGGGGAAGATTTCCCCCTATTCGAAGCAAAGGCATTGTGAACTCTATCTGCTTGCTTTTACAGGATGTCTTGCTCTGTCGCTCTCTTTCCCAAAAGGGGATGTTAATAACGTTCTCCCAGTATAAATCACTGAATTTTTGTGCAACAGTCACATTAGAGACTTGGGAAGTCTCATTTCTGTCTTTATAACGTTTCCTGGAAAAGTCTATAAAAGAAAATACCATGTCCACTCTACATAATTACAAAAGGCCTGGGAACTCAATATTTAGTTTTGTTTAGAGTTTAACATCCTTCTCGTTGGCTAGAGACCATAACATTATTGTATATGTGACAGGCTGGAAATTTTGATGTGATGTGTAATTTTCTTTTTTACTTCCCTTTTTGAAAAAATAGAGAAGAGGGAATGGCATACATTACCCACTCACAACTGGGTTTAATGCTGGGGAGGCCCACGCTAGCTATTTACCAGCAGTGAAATTGTAGAAAGGAGGAAGGTGACCTGACTAATGAAACACAAGAATAAACATCAGAGGAAGATGAGAAAGAAGAAATGAAGTATCAATATAGTTTATCAAATTAAAACTCATGCATTTAAAGGGCTGAGCTCTGCCCAGCGCAGGCAGATGATTAGCTAAGGCATCAGAGGACATCCTTCAGAAAATCTCTCTATTCATCTGTTTTGTCCTCAATTCCATCCTTGATCTCAAGGAGAAGCCGGCTCTCAGGCAAGCCTGTGCCTAGTCTCCAGTGCACTTCAGAAATGTGATTTTGATGTGTGCAAACCCACCCGGGTGGCCGTTACAGCTGATGTCCTGGCTGAACTCAAATACGCGGCGGCACACAGCTGCCAACATGTGCCCCACAAGAGCAGGTGCCTGCGCTGGGCAGAGCTCACCCCCGCTGGTACCCAAACCAGCTGGGTGCGGCATGGACTCAAGCAAGCAGGGACAGGCAGGGATGCTGGAGTCCCACAACCCCTCATCTGGCCACTGTGGTGACGGGAGATGTGGGTGCCCTGGCTTCCATCAGTTTGGTATTGCAGAGTGACATCAAGCCACGTCCTTTTTAGTTGTCCCCAGCAACCCGCTGGCCACGGCACGGCTCTTTGCTGGTACCTGGAGCAGCACCTCCCACACTGACTCGCTCCCACTCCCGGAGCCCAGATCCCACCCCACTTAGTTTCTGAGATCAGCTTCAATGCAATCAGACCTCTGAAGGCAGAGCGTCAGGTGGCCTTGGCTCCCTGGCAGGTTGCCTGCCCAGGCACAGGGATGTGCTCTGACGCCGACCTTGAGCGCATCGCCTCACAGCACCCCGGTGAGGGGAAGCGTGCTCGTCCCTCCGTACGTGTGGGACATGAAGCAGCAACTTCTAACGGCTCTTCCCCATCCTTTCACGCTGTGCTACACTGGAGTGTGAAGCAGCCCCGCTGCTTGCTTTTCAAAAGCTCTTTGCTGCCTAATTGAGGATTGTCTACTTAAAAGCCTCCAGCCAGAGCTGTAAAACCCACAGCTGTGTTTTGCAGATGAGAGACTTGGGTTGGTTTCAGATCTTGTTTTTGGAAAGGCTGCCGCGATCCTGAGCAAAGGCAACACAAATGGCACGAGTCCATCCTTTAGAGTAGCGAACCGTGAGAGCCGTGGTGCTCCTTCACAGCTCTTGAAGGACAGAAGTCTCTCTCTGTTCATTTTGGATGTACAGACTGAAAAAAAGCACCTCTTTTATGTTTAACCCTTTCCTTTCTTCAGTCTGCCCAGGTTTCTATCGCCAACATAGTTAAAAAAAAAAGACACTGTAAAAACGACATTCTGAAAAGCCTTTTCAGGCCCAATTACATGGGGGTTCATCCTCCTGCTTCTACCAAAGCTGCTTTTTGGGATGCCAGAGGAGAGGATTTACAAAGGGTGTCCACGTGGTGCATGCAGCCTCAACAGGGACCTTCCCCTCTAGGAATAAATCACTGCTTTCCATTTTTGAATGAAGACTTTACATCCAGATGTTTCCCCATTAATAGGTCAGAGGGGGGAGGTTGAAATTGAGAACAGAGAGTGCAATTGCAGGAGAAACAACAAATACGGGATTTTACACATAGCTGCTTGGGTCTGATACAGAGAGACCATGCTTGGGGGTGAACCCGTGCCGGGGGCTGCCCGTACACGAGAACCTGCTGCTGCCACCAGATCAGTGGGGCACGTTTCCCTTTTGCCCCACACCAGACTCCATAGAAGATTTTTAGGAAGTCACTTGATTCAGCCTGTGCTTCAGGTCCCTGTTTCTAACACAAGAACTCTCAATTCCGAAAGCAGAGGGACTGTAAGGACAGAACAAGGGCAGGGGAAGGGAAAGGACAAAGTAAAGGGTCTGCAGCATGGATCCTAGAGAGCTGAGGACCCACTAAGCCAGTGGTGGGGCTAAGATGAAGCAGTAGATGCAGAGGCGCAGTGCAGGCACCATCGTGGTGCAGAGCTGCTTGTGCTGCTCTGGCTCTTCCTGGGATGAAGCTGCCTTGGTATCAGCATCTTGCAGCAGCATCTGCATGAGCGGGCAGTATAGCTGCACCGTGCTGGTTGCTATAGATTGGGGCCAGAAGGAAATGAGACAAGCAGGACATCCAAGCATTGAAACTAGGGGCCTGGGCGATGAATCATAAGCTCTAGCTGCTCAAGACTCTAGTAATTTTATTATATCCGCTCCCAGAGCACACTGGCGCTCAGCTCCGCATGGGAGGGTCTTTGCTTGAGAGGAGATTTGGAAGGACATTTGCTCCAAGGACAAAGCAATTTGTACAGGGATTTGAACCACAAACACTGACCTCGATGCCAGAGAAAAAGTCAAAAAATTTCAGAGGGTAATGGAAGTGTTGTGATAGTTTCTAGTCAGTGCATATCTTCAATCCACCTCTTGCATGAAGTCCCCACAGAGGTACAGCAGCGGAGCTGCTTTGGCCTCAGGTGTATCCACACTGGGTCACATTTCAGCTCTCTAGAGCCCAGGTGAGCTGTAGGTTTTCAGGTAGGACAAGGCAACCTTGATAACACCTGCTCTCCTGACCTGCCCTGGAGCCTCCTCTGGTGATGTCCACTAGCAGCTCCTCTGCTCCCGCTGCTTTCTTTTGCAGAGCTGGCAACGGCTCTGAGTTCAGTTTTATTCTAGGCAGGAGTGATCCCCTGCACAGTTACTGGAGGGGTAGAAAAATAAGTGTCAGACAGCAGTGCTGCAGGAGAGTGGCTCCACGCGGCGACAGCACACTGACTGTAGTCTGCGAGACACCAGAGACTGCAGCAGCAGCCAGGGCTCCAGATACATAAATAAAGCAGAGGAGAAGAAAGAGAGCAAGGGTTTGGGGCTGTCTGCAAGGACAAGCAGCAGTCAGTGAATGTTTACACCCTGAGAGGGGATGATGAGGCTCTGAACCAAATGGCACCTCCAGAGCAATGAATCAATAGCTCAAGTTGCTCAAGACTCTAGTAATTTTATAATTTCTGCTCAACCTCCTCCTCCACTGAGCTTCTGGGGCAGGTTGAACAGACCTTGGCCAGGAATGCGGTGGGTAAAGTCAGTGTTGCCTGGGGCTGTGAGGCCCTGGGCATCTGTTCGAGGTCAGCTGCAGCTCTTACTTCTACATGAGCTAGGATTTTCCTACAGGACTTGACCCTAGATTCATGAATTTGAGCCAATCCCATTGAACCTAAAGAATCAGAGCTGCTAGAACAAGGATTGGTATAAATTCTTCTGGGCAGCACCTCCTGAATGCTTAGTCCTTGGGCAGGACTTGCTCCTTGAAGACAACCGTTACCCTGATATTTACTATGGAAACAGCCAAAGGCCATTGGTAGATTGGTAGCGCATCACGCTACACAGGCCTGGTTACACCCAGGAGAATGGAGAGAGCAAATAGGAGCAGCTTGAGGACGCAGCCAGAGCTGCCATCGCGCATAACCATGAGCTGCTTTACAACAGTGACACCCGCTTCCGTGTCTGCCACCACACAGCCCGGCAAGTCCCCTTAAACACCGACAGTGGCCCACCAGCCGAGGCAGCTCGGGGGCAGACAGACCTGCCGCCACCGCGTGCTGCAAACCCACTGAAGAGGCTTTTCACCCCCTTTGGCTCATGCCAGCATCATGAGGTGACAGGGGCCAGCTCTGTCCCTTTGTCACCCTCCTGCCCGTGCTCCTGGGAGGAGAAGCTCAAGAGCTTCAGAGGCTGATCCAGGGAGGTTGTTCCAATACTGCCAAGAGCTGGCAGCACTTGGCTAGGACTGAAAACCCTGCATGGGAAGGTGGGTGGCCAGGCATCCCAACCATCCCCATGACTGGATTTTGAGGCTGCAGACAGGAGAACCTGGAGACACCCCTATGCCCAGAGGAGACCAGCATGTGAAAGGGCTCCATGGAAAGTCTGGAAAGAAGTCACTCAGTGCCAGCACCTAACACAGCATCACTAGGGGATGCTGCTGCTCTAAGCTTGACATTTCCCCGGGACATGGAATAACAGCCACCTTTCCTTCTCTCCCCTTTCTTGGAGAGGTCTGGCATAAAGTGGTGTTCAGCTGCCCAAGAGCCCCTGGGCAGCCTGGGGTGTCGGAGCAAAGGCTTCTCTAGCAGGGTGATGCCCTTTGGGCCTCTGGGGACCATCTGCTCATGGTCAGGGCTGCTCTGCAAATATTTGAGGCAGGTGTGTGCCCCTTCTCGGGGTACACAGGTAACCAGACCCACGGTAGTCCAAGCCCACTTGCTGCTCTCAGTGCTGGCAGCTGCCAGTGCCGGTAGGAAGCTCCATTAAACAACACTAATAAATACTTTATTTACCAAAACCACATTAAAATATTCCTAAGACTGTCCCATCTCGCCAAGTGCCTTCCGTAGCAGCTCACAGCCTGAGGATCCTGGAGGAGGCTTGGAGAGCCCACGCAGCAGCACCAGCTTCATGGCCAGCAGGACCTCTCGGTAGCCAAGGTGGCTTCTTCTGCCAGAGCGGGAGAGCCGTGCGGCCTCCAGCGCCACGTCCCCAAGCAGCTGGGAGCTGCCCAGCCAGGAAAGTGCGGTAACTGCCAGGCAGGAGGCTCCGGTGGACCACGTCTGCAGGGAGAGCAGCCGTCAGAGCTTCTGCCATCAGCTCCCCCTGCCCCTTCCCCACCATCTTCAGTTTAAGCTAAAAACCTTCCAGATTCAGCTAATGCAGGAGCATCCAGGCTTGGCTACATGGATGACCAAGCTGAGCTTGGAAAGCAGATGGTTGCAGTCAAACCTACCTGGTTTAGGAGCTTGTGGATGTAAGTGGAATAAGCCACCTTCTTCTTCTGCCTGCGGGGACGGAGGCAGTGGAGGGTCTGCCAGGCGTGCCAGGCCACTGCTTTCTTCCTCGGGAGGGCAGGGGGACTGGGGCCCATCGCTGCTCCCACACACGGCACTGGTTTAACACGCACTTGCTGCGGCCCCGACACCTCTGCCAGGGGAGAACAGAGCGTGACCCCAGCAGCAGGGCCCTGCCCGCACCCCAGCCACCCCCAGCTCACCCTGGGCATTTGTGGGTGTTGAATTTACAAAATGCAAATTAGGCACTTACAGTAACACAAACAACCATTCAGCATGCTGCACAAAGCAAGATCAAAACACACCACCCCCTAGTCCCACCAGAAAGCAAACCACAAACAGGGTATTTTAGGGCATCCCCCAGCTCACTTCCAAGAGCTCCCCAGCCCTGTCCTCCCCAGGGACAGGGAATGAGCCAGGAGCCACTGCCTATAACCAGGGGGGGGCATTGATTCCAGCTGGGGGCTGCAGCCCATTGGGACTTGTCGGGGTGGGGACAGGGATAGCCACACCCCCATCACACCCCCACATTCCCATCACAGCCCCAGCTCCTACACTCAAACCAGCAATTCTTACCCCAAATACACTTGGGAGTGAGGCTGCGTCTGCTCCCAAGCCTCCTGCCCTTGTGGCCCTAATTAGTATCGTTAGCCTAATTACCCCAAAGCAGCTGGTTCTGGGCTGGCACCAGACCTTGAGCACCCAGGTGTTCCTGGGGGATTTGTTGTGGTTTTTTCTGCATTTATTTGGGGTGGGGGTAGGGTGCTCTGTAAGCCCTAGTGAGCAGGGTCTGGGAGGGCACCCAGGGGTGCTGGAGCCAGGATCTGCCCCTGCATGGTGGGGCCCTGGGATGGATCCTGGTTTGCAGGATCTGGCCCTGCACGTTGGAGTCTTGGGGTTATCCTGGGTGCAGCATCTGGCCTTGCCTGATGTGACCCTGAGGTTGGGGTTCTCCTGGGTGCAGGATCTTGGAGCCCTCAATATCAGAAGGATATTGACCACTTGGAGCGAGTCCAGAGGAGGCCACGAAGATGCTCCGAGGGCTGGAGCCCCTCTCCTATGACGAAAGGCTGCGAGAACTGGTCTTGTCCAGCCTGGAGAAGAGGAGGCTCCGAGGAGACCTCATTGCAACTTTCCAGTATCTGAAGGGGCTACAAGGGTGCTGGGAGAGGACTTTTTACAAGAGCCTGTAGTGATAGGACAAGGGGTAATGGGTATAAATTGAAATCAGGGAGGGTTAGATTAGATGTCAGGAAGAAATTCTTCCCGGAGAGGGTGGGGAGGCACTGGAACAGGTTGCCCAGAGAAGCTGTGGATGCCCCATCCCTGGAAGTGTCCAAGGCCAGGCTGGATGAGGCTTTGAGCAACCTGGTCTAGTGGAAGGTGTCCCTGCCCATGGCAGGGGGTTGGAACTGGATGATCTTTAAGGTCCTTCCAACCCAAACCAGTCTGTGATTCTATGATCTGGCCCTGCTCCATGGGACCCTGGTGTGGGTGTCGCCTGGGTGCAGGATCTTCCCCTGCCCAAGTGGGCCCTTGGGATGAGGGGGGTGGGGGTGCCAGGAGCAGGATCTGGCTCTGCCTGCTGACGTCCTGGGTCGGGTTCTCCTGGGTGCAGGATCCGGCCCTGCCCAAGGCATCCCATGGCGGGG